TGTTGTTTCCACCCAAAATTTTACATTTTTATGTGGTTAAGTTTATTTCTTTTTTCCTTTTAATAACTGTGCTTTGGGGGTTTTTAATAAAAAGAAATTTCATTTATATTCTATTGTTTTATTTTTTACATTGAAATCTTTAATCCAGCTGGTACTTATTTTGATGTAAGACAGGATTTAGCTTTGTTTTTCCACCAAATGATTAACTGGTTGCCCTAAAGACGATTACTGATAATTCACATAAAGTAAATACGATTTACGACTGGGCATTTCCCTGTGCAAATCTCTGAATTACTAAGGATATGTCCATCAGTCTGATCTCCAACATCTTCTATAACCTGGGTTCATCTGATCTAGCAAACCTTATTTCTTCGTCTTTCTTAGCATGCACCTCAGCCACTCTGCGCTCAGCCCCACTGTTCTTTGCTTATTTTTGCTCTCTTGACTTTCCCTAAGTTCTACCTCCAACATCTCCTGGGACATTTCCCTTACTCTCCAGACCACCTACTATCAATTTCTGCAACCAACATTGATCCCCCTTCTCTAAACTCTTATGTTAATAGCATTTATGGCCTCGTTTACAAAATGTTAGTTCACATGCATTTAGTCTTTGCTAATTTTTCTTTTATTAGCTTTCTTTTTGTCAAATGGATTGTAATCTTCATGAGGGCAAAGGTTATATCTTAAAATAAATTGTTTTTATATTATCTTTGAGAGAAACTATCATAGTGCTTATTACACATCCCACAATCTCACATAATTATAGACATAGATAATAACTTTTTTATTCTTAAGGAATCTCTACTATCAACTTCAGATAGTGCTTTTCCTTTTTAGAATATTTTTATCTAAATATGTGTGTTTTCCAAATACAAAGTAAACAACAGAAAAAAATATATGAGATGCTTTATTTCGTGGTTTTTCTTGACTGGATCCTCATAAAATTTTTCTTCCCATCTAGGGACTTGTGTATGTGGTGAATGTTCTTGCCACGATGTTGATCCAACTGGAGACTGGGGAGATATTCACGGGGACACCTGTGAATGTGACGAAAGGGACTGTAGACCTGTCTATGACCGATATTCTGATGATTTCTGTTCAGGTAAGGACCCTCCCAATTCCTGTCTTTAAATAAAAAAAATTCATTTCCCCATTCTCAAGATTCATTCTGATTCTCACAGATACTCTACAGTAAGCTAAATGTACATCTCAAAGCACATTCCAAAGCATTTGATATTTGCAGTGCTCCTACTAGTAACTTTGAAAACAGCTGGAGAATTCACACATTTGGCAGACTATAGAGTGTACCCACTCTTTTAAAATTAGTCTAATTCTCACGCAGAAGAACCACTAGCTCCAGATATCTACTCAACTCAACGCTGAGACTACAAAACCTGCAAACCTGATGACAATGAACAGGATAGTTACGATTAGGACAGCTATATTAATATATTACAAAACTTAGGATAACACAGTTCTCAGGGATGTTTTTGTGCATTAACTCTTTGATGGAATTTGTAGCAAAATCATTCTGCAATTTAGTCTGGAATTGAATATCATTTAGTAGATTTAAAAATTTTATACCTTAAGTATTTATGGAGCAGATACTATCTGTTAGGGTCTAGGCGTCTGAGCTAGTGGTTCCACCACATACATGATCTTTGACTTTACAGAGCTTGCAATCTAAATGCAAAGAAAAAAATGCACCTGGCCAGAATGTTTAATGGTGCAAAGAAAGAGAAAGTAGTCAGAGATTTATCTGAAAAGATGTCATTTAGTTTCACTCCCCAGGTTTAAATCTGTTACCCAGCGTGAGTTTATTTTTGTGAGGGGTGAGAGGTGTGGATCCAGATTCAGTCTTCTACATGTGGCTATCCAGTTTTCCCAGCACCATTTATTGAATAA